GTGACCGTGACCGGTTTAAGAAGGTAGAAATGCCGATATTTGCCGGACAAGAGTTGTAATCCTGGATATTTCGAGCTGAAAGGTATTTCGAAATACAAAAACTCACCGATGTGGAGAAGATGATCGTCTCAGTGATCAGTTTCAAAGGAATCGCCCTGGCCTGGTTCCGCTATACCGATAATAGGGACCGATTTCGTGATTGGAATCGACTTAAAACCCGGATGAGAGATCGTTTTCATCCATCGAAGGAGCGATGCCTTTGCGCTAATCTGCTCTCCATCAAACAGGAAGGATTGATGCAAGATTACCGCGAACAATTCGAAGCATTAGCGGCAACACTTCCTCAATTATCGGAGGAAGTTCTGGAAAGCGCTTTCTGAATGGTTTAGACTCAGTGGTACGTGCGGAAGTTCTCGCTATGGAACCACAAGGATTGGACCAGATAATCAAGAAGGCACAGTTGGTTGAGGATATCACCCTTGCCGTCCAAGAGGCAGCAAGGGAAACCGCCAGACTGACAGTGAAAGCCGGCCCGATTCAGAACAAAGTGGTTCAGAGAGGATCAAAGACCTTGGCTACCCGAACTGTAACCCTTGCTAGCAAAAGCCCTAGCCCAACGCAGTCTTCGACGGCGCTGCAAACTACTAGGAAAGATCCACCATACAAGCGATTGACGGAATCTGATTACTAGAAGCGAAAGGAAAAAGGGCTCTGCTTTCGCTGTGAGGAAAAATTTACCGTGGGCCATAGGTGTCGAAACCAAGAACTGTGGGTTTTCGTAGTTCACGACGACGACCTCATTGAGGGGGGCCAGGAGATTAGCGCAGAAATTGGAGATAGTACGGGCGAACCGGAGGAAATGGTTGAATGCAGACTGAATGCCATCAACGGAGTATCTACCCCAGGTACGATTAAGTTGAAGGGTTTATTGCAGGTCGAGAGGTAGTTGTGCTAATCGTTTGTGGAGCAACCCACAATTTCATCTCGCTGCCTTTGGTTGAGGAACTCCAATTTCCACGAACGGACACTCTAAATTATGGGGTGATCATGGGATCCGGAGCTGCTGTTAAAGGGAGTGGCATTTGTAAGGGGGTAGTGATTACTCTACCAATGTTTACTGTCAAGGACAACTTCCTTCCCTTGGATCTAGGCACACTTGATGTTGTCTTAGGGATGCAGTGGTTACAAACCATGGGAAAGATGGAAGCAAATTGGCCAACATTGACGCTGTCTTTCAATAGAGACGGGAAACAAATTGTGCTAAAAGGCGATCCCACTCTGACTAGACTCGAAGTATCCCTTAAGCGTCTATCACGCAGATGGGAAAGGGATGACCTGGGATTACTAGTCGAGTGTCGTGCTCTAACTACCCACGTGGTGGATGAGGAAGCAGTTCGCAATCAGTCATCTATAGAGATACAAGCTTTTTTACCCAAGATGGTCCGCGATCTCCTAACGGAATACACAGACATATTCCAACCTCCACAAGAACTACCACCCAACAGGGTTGTTGATCATCAGATACCTCTTAAAGAGGGGCAACCACCGATCAATGTTAGACCATATCGCTACCCTCACTACCAGAAGACCGAAATCGAGAAACTAATTGGAGAAATGTTAGCTGCCGGGATAATAAAGCTAAGTGTTAGTCCCTACTCAAGTCCAGTCATCTTGGTGAAAAAAAAAGATGGAAGCTGGCGGTTTTGTGTGGATTATCGGGCTTTGAATGAAGCAACGGTGCTAGACAAGTTCCCAATTCCAGTGATTGAAGAATTGTTGGATGAATTGCATGGATCCAAGGTATTTTCGAAGATTGATTTATGCTCGGGTTATCATCAGATACGAATGGCTGCAAGTGACATTCCCAAGACCGCGTTCAGGACACATGAAGGCCATTATGAATTCTTAGTTATGCCCTTCGGCCTTACAAATGCCCCAGCCACTTTCCAATCCCTTATGAATCAGGTATTTCGTCCGTTTTTAAGACGATTTATACTAGTCTTCTTTGATGATATATTGGTGTATAGCCCTGACTTACAAACCCATCTAACACATATGGGGGTGGTTTTTAATGTGCTGAGGGACAACTCCTTATGTGCCAACTACAAGAAGTGTACCTTTGCCCAAGAAAGAATTAACTACCTCAGGCATTGGGTGTCTGCACAAGGAGTAGAAGCAGATCCTGAAAAAGTCTCGGCAATGTTGCAATGGCCTCAACCAACTACATTGAAGGAGTTGAGGGGATTTTTGGGACTCACGGGCTACTATAGAAAGTTTGTGGCTGGATATGGGACCATTGCAGCTCCCCTTACTGAGTTGCTCAAAAAAGATTCGTTTGTGTGGACTGAACAAGCAACCAGGGCTTTCGAAACGTTGAAGCAGGCTATGGTAACATTGCCGGTTCTAGCTCTGCCGGATTTTAGCAGCCAGTTTATTATTGAAACAGATGCTTCCGACACAGGATTGGGGGCAGTGCTCACTCAAAATCAGCGACCAATCGCCTACTTCAGCCATACTTTATCCCCTCAGAACCAGTTGAAATCAGTAAATGAAAGGGAATTGATGGCCGTTGTTCTCGCCATCCAACGTTGGCGTTCGTACCTTCTGGGTCAGAAATTTGTGGTTCAGACGGACCAACAAGCCTTGAAGTATTTGCTTGAGCAAAGGGTGGTTCCATCGGAATATCAACAATGGGTTACGAAGTTGCTTGGATACGCCTTTGAGATCCGTTACAAACCTGGGCCAGAGAACAAGGCAGTCGATGCTTTGTCTCATTTACCTCCTCTGCCTCAGCTGGCTCATATTTCAGCCCCTTCGGTCATTGATGTGGAGGTAACTAAAGCAGAGGTGGCAGCGGACCCCCATTGGACTAACATCCTTAAGGACCTGGATGAGGATCCTGACAGTGTGCCGCGATATTCATTCCAACAAGGGACACTTTGTTACAAGGACCGTTTGGTATTATCCCGCACTTCAAGTCTGATCCCAGCCATATTACACCTGTTTCATGATTCGGTGTTAGGTGGGCATTCCGGATTCCTTCGCACCATAAGAGAATGACTAGGGAACTCTACTGGCCCAGCATGAAAGTCGATATTAAGAAATATGTGGAAGAATGTGAAGTGTGCCAACGCAATAAAACAATCGCCGTGGCACCTGCAGGGTTGCTACAACCTCTCCCATTACCCGATCGCATTTGGGAGGATTTGTCTATGGATTTCATAGAAGGGTTGCCTAAATCCCAAGGACAGGACACCATCCTAGTGGTTGTCGATCGACTAAGTAAGTACGCTCATTTTCTATCCTTGAGCCACCCTTTTACCTCGAAAACAGTTGCTTCATTGTTTGTAAAGGAGGTCGTTCGTCTACACGGTTTTCCTAGATCCATTGTTTCGGATCGAGACAAGATATTCATCAGCCACTCCTGGACTGAGCTCTTTCGGCTTCAGGGCACTAAACTTCAGAGGAGCACAACCTATCATCCTCAAACGGATGGCCAGTCAGAAATCGTGAATAAATGCTTAGAGGTTTATCTTCGTTGTTTTTGTAGTGAAACTCCTCGACTGTGGGGACAATGGTTAAGTTGGGCGGAGTATTGGTACAATACTACTCACCATAGCTCCCTGGGGGACACCCCTTTTCAGGCGGTTTATGGCAGAGCCCCACCTCCTCTTATCTTGTATGGGGACCAACGAACTTCTAATGCAAATCTGGACCAGTTGTTAGCAGAAAGGGACAGTGCCCTCGAACGAATTAAAGAGCATCTTCGGCTAGCACAATAACGGATGAAAAGGCAGGCTGATAAGGGCCGACGGGAAAAAGAGTTTGCCATTGGGGATCATGTTTATCTGAAATTACGCCCCTACCGACAAAAGTCCATAGCTAAAAGATGGAATGAAAAGCTACGGCCTCGGTTTTTCGAGCCCTACATCATCCTTCAACGCGTGGGAAAGGTCGCGTACCGCCTATACTTGCCCTTAGACACGACCATCCACCCCGTTTTCCATGTATCACAGCTGAAACGAGTACTTGGGAATGCTGCAGTTTCACCCCAAATTCCCATTCAGCTCTCTGAAGACTTAGTTTGGCAAGCTGAGCCAGAAGCCATACTTGCCCTTCGCACCAATGAAGAAACTGGGGACAAAGAGGTGCTGCTGAGTTGGAAGGGTCTACCGGAAGAAGAAGCTACATAGGAAACCTTCCAGGATATGTGCAAACAATTTCCAGCATTTCACCTTGAGGACAAGGTGGTGGTGAACCCGGGGGATGTTGTTAAGCCCCCAATTGTCAACACTTATAGTAGGAGGGGTAGATTGGGGAATTGACTTAGAATCGTTTTAGAGGCCATAACGGCCAAGAGAGAGAAAGGCTTGTAGGGAGAATAAAAGGCAAGGGGGAGGTTAGTTAGGGGGATATCGAGTATTTTGTGGATTGCTTAGCAAGGCTTAGGAGGAGAGATCACCCACCCTCTCGAATTGGTGGGTCAGCTGTAATCCCTTTTGAGGAGTTTTCCTTTCTCTAGTGAATTCCATTGAAGGATACCTTATAGAAGACTTTCTTGTAATTGCCTCGGGGCCTTTTGTATATTTCATACCATGGATGAAATATTTGTTTCATATAAAAAAAAACATGTAATTTATTATGTTGTGGAAGCGGACTGGTATTATTGTTTCATTGTTGGCATGTTGGTTGTGGTTTAAGAAGCATGCTGAATTATTGTGAGATGTTTATTGCATGGGACATGGCTTAGAAGCATGTAGGACTCTAGTTGTGAGTAGTTCTTACTTGTAGAGATGTTTGTTGTGTGCTTATGTATGAATTATCTATTTTAATTTGTGCGCTTTATTATATCTCTTAATGTTTATTGGATATTGTTGCTGGATGTTTCTATACAAATGTTGGATGTTGATTATAAGTGTTCTAGATGAACTATGATTGGTTCTAGCCCAAGTAATTTTTTGGACGATCTCAAATCTGTAATCCTCTTCATTCTAGGACTATTGAGTGTTGAGTCTAAAGAAATGACTACATTATTATCTACAACGGAGTTCAGTCCGAAGCTCGCCCGCAATAATATCTGTAGTGGACTAAACATTCGAGCACGACCTCACCTGTTTCCAGGTAAATTCACCCACCCTTTTTCTCTCGTTGCTTCACTTTCTTATTCATAGGGTAAATGATTTTGAAGAAGTGCTTGTTTTCGTAGGCTTCATTGGAGGGGGAATTGCACAAAACAATCGAATTCCGCTTATTAGCTTAGCCGTAACCAAACTAACTGCTCAGACGAGTACTGAGATTCAAGGAAAGGGCAGAAAAAATAATCAGATTTTGAGCGAGGGAAGAGATGAGGATGAGAAAAAGGGAGGCATATGTCCCGGTTGTGGAGTTTTTATGCAACATCAGGATCCAAACCTTCCTGGATATTATCAGGAAAGGAACGTTTCAATGACACAACCAAGAGAAGAAGATGACTTCTATGAACTTGTTGATGATGATATCATGTATGAACAGGGAAACAATGATGGAGAAGGAACGAGCGATGAATTCGATTGGGATTCAGATGAATGGGAGGATAAGCTCATGAACGAAGAAAACGATTTGGAACTCGATGGCTTTGCTCCTGCTGATGTGGGCTATGGAAACATTACGGAAGAAACAGTAAAGCGAGCTGAGAAGAAGGGGATATCGAAGTCAGAGAAGAAGAGGAGAGCTAGGGAGGCTCATAGAGAGCGAGAGAGAGAAGAGGTAACTGTTTGTGCAAGGTGCCATTCATTGAGGAATTATGGGCAGGTGAAGAACCAAGCTGCAGAGAACTTGATTCCTGATTTTGATTTTGATAGATTAATAGCCAATCGTTTGATGAAACCCACATCAAATTCGAATAATATTGTTGTTATCGTCGTTGATTGTGTTGATTTCGATGGTTCTTTCCCAAAGAGGGCAGCAAAATCATTGTTTAAGGCTTTGGAAGGGAATAAGAACGACCTCAAGGTCAGCAAAAGGTTGCCAAAGCTTGTTCTTGTGGCTACAAAGGTTGACTTGCTCCCATCACAGATCTCACCCACAAGGCTAGATCGATGGGTTCGGCACCGTGCCAAGGCTGCGGGGGCTCCTAAATTAACTGGAGTGTATTTGGTCAGTGCTCGTAAAGATATCGGTGTGAGAAATCTTTTGTCCTTCATCAAAGAATTGGCTGGTCCACGAGGGAATGTGTGGGTCATTGGTGCTCAGAATGCAGGGAAGTCTACTCTCATTAACGCATTAGCAAAGAAGGAAGGGGCTAAAGTGACAAAGCTTACGGAAGCTCCAATTCCTGGGACGACACTCGGGATCTTGCGAATTGCGGGGATTTTATCAGCCAAGGCGAAGTTGTTCGACACTCCTGGTCTTCTACGTCCTTATCTACTGTCTATGAGATTGAACAGGGAAGAGCAAAAAATGGTCGAAATTCGAAAGGAGCTCCAACCAAGGTCTTATAGAGTGAAGGTAAGCTGTATTTCTATGTTCTATCCAATTAGTATTCGACTTGGGACATTTATATCTATAATGGGTTAATTTAACCCACATTTCACGGTGAATTTAAGTCAAATTGTTGAGTTCGAATTCCTATCCCTACGTTGTACTCAAAGAGAGAAAAAAAGTTAAAAGACCATCGATTGGAGAATGTTATACATGAGACATGCTTGTTTTCCTTACTTGATAATGAATTCATTTACAATTGATGGAATGAAGAATTTCAAAATGTGAATCATTCTTCTCTTTAAGTTGGGATTTTTGACATTTTGTTTATTACTGCTCCATTGCAAATTTTGATTATTTTTAATAAATTCTGTGTGTGTGCAGGTTGGACAGAGTGTGCATGTTGGTGGTTTGGTAAGACTTGACCTTAACCAAGCTTCAGTAGAGACAATTTATGTTACGGTTTGGGCATCACCTAATGTTTCTCTTCACTTGGGAAAGATTGAAAATGCCGATGAGATATGGAAGAAACATGCTGGTGTCAGGTTGCAGGTAACTTCTTTCACTGCTTCCTTATCAACTATTTGTGCCAACATATTTTTTTAAGTGCTTTTTTTGCACCAAGGTTCTTTTGACTTGTTCCCAAATCACTGTATATTACTCCCAAGCATAGCATGTGAGTGCGAAGTAATTTTGATCATGACATAGCCGAAGTTATGATCGTCAGTTGATTGTTGATTTTATTTTTTCCCCTCAGCCACCCATTGGCGTGGACCGTGCTTCTGGAATTGGCGAATGGGGAGCGAGAGAGGTAAAAGTTTCTGGCACAAGTTGGGTTGTGAATAGCATTGATATTGCAATAGCAGGTTTAGGTTGGTGCTCTTTGGGTCTCAAAGGTGAAGCAACCTTGACCTTATGGATACATGATGGCACGGAAGTAACTTTGGGAGAACCGTTGGTTCTCGACCGAGCACCGTTCCTCGAGCGACCTGGCTTCTGGCTACCAAAAGCCATATCGGATGCCCTTGGCAATGAAACAACACTTGATGCCAAGAGGAGAGGATCTCTAGAAGATAGTACATTGGTTCGATGATCAATATTCCCCTGTTGGAGCCCATTCTGGAGGTTTCTGCACAGATAACATAATGATACATTTTTCATTGCCATAAAGTAATCGTGCTAGGTTACTTAAATTTTGAAATTGATGTTTGTTCAATCAACTTTTGAACAAGCTATCATACTAGTTAATGGGTAGGCATGTAATGAGGTTGTAGAGTTTTTGGCTAATTTATTATTAATTATTTTTGGTGTGTTTATGTTATTACTTTAGAATGTAAAATTATGACCATGATAGTTTTTGAATGGCCTAAATTGGAGTTAAAATAAAATAGTTATGAAAAAATTAGAATTTCTTTTTTTAATTTGATTGGAGGACTTTTCATGAACTCATTCGAGATTAATCAACGTTTAAATTTTGTGGTTGAAAGATAATATATGAAAAAAACAAAATTATCAATATGATAATGACAAGGACAATATGTGATGTTTGACTAAATCACGAGGATTCAATTGAAATTTTTTAAATTATAGGTACTAAATTGAAAGTAATCAAAGGACTAAGTTCAAACTATATGAATTAAATTAAAACTTTTAAAACGATTGGACCAAATTCAAATTTTGTGCAAACTATAGGGCCAAATTTGTAAGTTAATTTTAGGTATTTTATTTGTGAAACTGTTTTTAAATTTCAAATAAATGAGGGTTGCTCGTGAATTTGTAAAAAGTGCATTGTAATGCTTTGATTTCGAATCGAGAAAAGAATTAGATTTGTTCTCCCTCCTCGAAAAAGAATGTTGTGAAATTGGGATTTATGACCCCACCGATAACAAAAATTGGATTAATGAACCCATTTTTTAAAAACCTAATTCGTGATCCCACCTCCACTTAATTTTGACCCCTTAAATTTTTTATTCTTGGAAAAAGACGAATTTACCCTCATGGTTCATAAATATGCATTTATGATACATTACATTTCCACCACACCATCCCACCAAACTTTAAACTCATATTTTACCTATGTTTTGAATTTGAATCCCATGATCCATAATCATCACCGATCACGTTTTTAAAATCCTCTAAAAAAACATTGTTGTCCACGTGTTTAATCATTGTCCCCACACTATAAAAAACCATTATCCCTGCATTTTCACTTTTGAAAAGTAAGGTACATTACACTTACAACCTTTTGTACTTTAAAATTGCTCAAATGATTTGAAATATTTCCCCATTCATACATTCACTATTGGATTGAATTTTGAAAAAAAAAATAATAATAATTCAGATCGTTGTCCTGGACCTATACTTGGTCTGGGATTGAATGTTCAATCCCGGTATATTCTGGTTCGGGACATGAACCGGGAAACATCTCAGACTAATCCCGAATCAGGACTGGTCCGGGATATGTCTCAAACCAAGACTGGTCCGAGACGGTCTGGGATGACAGAGTTTTTTCTTTTTTTCTATTTTTTATTACTATTATTTGTTTCAATGATAGATTTTCTTATCCCACTTAGTTTTTATCTATTTGCAGGATGCCTCGTGTTTTCATAACATTTGGTGAAGAATGGAACGATAGAGAAAAAGATTATGTCGGGTGGTCGTACGAGAGGATTGACAGTGGATAGTACAACTACGTACGGAGAATTTCTAGGTCACGTGTATAGATTGAGCAATATAAAGCCTCTACAGTTTGATTTTATAATTAGACGCGTATATCATTTTAAAACTAAAGTTTGTGTAATGGAGATAACCGATGATAATGACCTGAATTTTTTTTTACTGGTGAGGATGTATTTAAATTGTCTATATACATATCTACTGTGACAAAGGAGCTACATGAGAATGAAACGTATATGCCTTCTTTCCCATATTATGTAGGCAAAAATATGTCATTGATTCTTATGCCCACAGCTTGTATTCCCCCATTCTAAAGACTCATATATCCTATACTCTCATTTCGTTCATTATCATCGAACCCGTCTTCTTCCCAATAGCCACACCCCTCCTACAGGCATATAGGTCATGATATAGCGAGTTTAACACCATTGAGATCAGATGTTGTTCCATGTAACCTGGGAGATGACAGGGTATGTAATTGGGATGTGTCGGGATTGTGGAATGATAATGAAGATTAAAGTGATGAATCATATGACCCATTGGGAGAGTCAGAAGGAGTCTCTGAAGCAGAATATGGGAATGATGACAATGACGATGCACTTGATGAAGAGCCTGAGCTTGATGTGGAATAGGTACGCACTGAGATTTGCAGTGATGAAGAAGCGGTCCGACAAACGAGGTGTAATGGTCTCACTGGACAGCCAAATGATGAGAAATTGCAACTCATAGTACAGTCTTCTGGAACAAATGATGTTAAGGAGGGCGAAGTATTTGATACGAAGGAGTTGATTTTTGAAATGTATTTATTTGAAATGCGGATGAATTTTCAGTTTAAAGTAAAAAAATTGATGCCAGAACTATATATACTGTGCTGCGTTGATACTAGTTGCATGTGGAAACTTCGAACTACAAAGCTGAGGGACTGCAATCTGTTCAAGAGTAAAAAATATTGTTTCGTAAATACATGCAATGTCGGAGTTTTGAAACAGGATCATAAGCAAGCCAAGAGTTGGGTGGTAGAACATCTTGTCCAAGTGAAGTTTACAGAGGTCCCTCGCACGTATAGACTGGAGGACATTATACAAGACATGAGGAAGGAGTATGGTGTCAATTTCAATTATGATAAAACGTGGCGGTCCAGTAAAGAAGCACTTCAACTTATTACAGGGGATCCAACATCGTCATATGGTTTACTACCAGCTTATGGTGAAGCATTAAAAATCATGAACCCAGGTACTATTTTCGAATTGGAACTAAAATGTGGCAAATATTTCAAATATGTCTTTATGGCTTTGGGTTAATCGATTAGAGGTTTTCTAGCTTGTATTCGACCTGTATTGGTTGTTGATGGGACTCACCTAAAGGGGGAGTTCAGAGGGGTATTGTTAACAGCTTCTGTGTGGATGCGAATAACCAGATTTACCCGGTAGTATTTGCTATTGTCAAAGATGAGACCGTAACATCATGGGTGTGGTTTATGATTCAAATAAAAAGTACGCTCGCCGTAGTGAACAATTTGGTTTTCGTTTCTGATAGACATCAAACCATTTGTAAGGTAATTGAGAAGGATTTCCTACTGCATTTCATCACTTTTGTATACAACATATTAAGATGAACTTGCTAGAGAAATTTAAAGACGATGTGAAGGCAATCGAGGAACTATTTCGAAAGTCTGCGAAGGCATATCGAGAGTCTTATTTCAACTCAATCTGGGTCCAACTTGGTGTGTACCCTGGTGTGAAGGAATACCTGAACGACATTGGGAATGAGCGTTGAGCTTGTTGTTTCCAAACTGAATTGAGGTACACACAGATGACCACTAATAACGCGGAGTCCATAAATGTCCTCTTTAAGAATACGCGTAAGTTGTCAGTGACTGCTTTACTGGATCATATTAGAGGTCTGTTACAGACTTGGTTCTACGATTGATGGACGCTTGCTTCTGCCCGATCAACCACATTGTCCGACTATGCTGAAAATATGTTCGTTGAATACTCGGATAGTGCCAGGAGACACGTTGTAGCCAACATCGACTAGTGTCATGTCTAGGTACGCGATGACGACCTTGACAGGATTGTTGATTTCAACTTCAGGACATGTAGTTGTCGGGAATTCGATTATTTTAGAATTCCATGCTCTCATGTTATTGGCGGGGCGATGATGCGAAACATAAATCCATACACTCTGTGTGACGAGGTGTACACGAAAAACTCTCGGATATAAGCTTATGCAGAACCAATATTTCCAGTTGGACACTCATCAACATGAAACAGTTCGCCAGTGTTTGTCAACATACAGGTGGAACCACCAAAGACGGTTCCTAGAGTTAGCAGGCGGCAGACAATTTGGATTCCATCCATGAGCGAGGTGCGCCAAACACGTAAGTGTGGTCAGTGTGGTACGTCGGGACACAATCGCAAAACATGGCGCAAACCCCTAAACATAGTGTGAATGTATGGTATTATTTTTTCCTTACGTTTGAAAATGTATCAAGTGGACACAATAAAAATGAGAAGGTAACTTATACCCCAAACAAGCAACCATGCATGCATGCTTTAATAACCATGTGTGTTTTAGTATTATTATTATTTGTTTATGGTGTGTATATATGTTTCATATGTCTTATGCTACGTTGGTGATTGTGGAAAGTATGAGGTACTAAAATGAAACTGAACCATATATATTATCAGAAAAAAAAAATGGGCCAACGCGTGCACATTCAGTACGCCTAAATAGTACAACATTTGCTTGGGTCAGAGAGTCCATCTTTGACCCAGTAACATCGTACTCGAAGAACCTCATACAGAATATCCCACAATTCGTCGCGCTACTTTATTGGGGTGCGCGAACCCAAACGCACCCTCCATGGCACAACTAGCAAGTTCGGTCGTACTGCAAATATGCTGCTGTAGTGAAGCACCGCTGGGAGGATCGTACACATCGACTTGAGCTCCTTCTCTAGAGCCTCTAGTGGGGTGCAAACTGTAGCGAATCCCATACAGTTAGGCCACCCTCCACAAGATCGATGCTGAGCATCACCCAATGATTCCCACCAATCTTAATTAGGGTATATACCATGTCTGCATCACTCCATGGCGTGTTGTGGTTCGATTGTCTACCGAACAAGTAACGAAATATGGTTTTCTCCTTAGGCCATTCATACTTGATCCTTGAGGTCAGAACTCCCGACTTCATGGCAGTGTATGGACTGTCTATGCGGTTTAGCAAAGTCTGTGCATAAATATGATTACATTAGACTTTCATAAATAATTGGAACAGACACTTTATTATGCGGGCATATTAAGGTAAAAATTACTTATAGAGAGAAGTACGTCGCCATGCAAACCTCCTACGACATAGATAGAGACACTTATCCAACTTCTTTGCTGTAAACAACACCAACGCATCGATCACCTGTTTCATTTAATATATTCACAATGATGTAACTAACATATTTACAACATCATACTTAAGGAGTAAGAAGTCCTTATTTCATCCTTCAATTCGATAGTCTGGTTTAGTAGATTGCGATACCATTCCTTCGTCTGCATTCCAGTTGCAGTAGACCGCGATACCCCATACGTTAATGGGTCATCCAACCATTTATGGAATTGTTTGCTTAACTGTGGAGGAATGCTGGGTTGTAGCTCATCACTTTCCTCCCACGCTTTCCGGTTGGTGTGTACATTTCCTTAAGCTTTCATGAG